CCCCTTATACTTAACTAAAAATGATCAGGGCCTGGCCGACCCTGTGCCTAAACAGGCGGCTACCCTCCTTTTACTTAGCACCTACGTTCACCAAGAATTAACCAAGGCCACAGGCCGAATGATCAGACCAGGCGCCAAGCCAACTGACCCAATCTTCAAAACTAATACGACCTGTCCCAACATCATAGCAGGCGTCCGCCGGCATCCCTCCGGATGAAATTCGTCGCAGAGAGCAGCTCCCTTTTGGGTGGAACATTGCTCTATAAACTAATTACACGGCACCTATACGACTGTCCCCAAGGGCAACCACGTAGCCGTTTTTGAGACAAGGATAACTCTATCACTAACCAAACCAGTGGTAGCAGTTGACATCTGAGTCAGATGACCGCCTGTATTACTTGGGATAAATGCAGGGGGTACCTCTTGAGTTAATAGCCAACAAACATTGGCGAATCAAAAGGTTCAGCCGGCCTCCGCCGCCTGGTACCTTTACTACTCAAGCAGGAATGACGGCGACTGAGTAACACCAAAGTTAACTCATAGTCACTCTCTCAAACTTAGTATGGAGCCTAAAAGGTATGAGTCGTCCGCCTGTTTTTAACAAACAGGGGCTCTCAACCACTACTCCTGCTAGGTTAACAACCTATGAGTTAAAAGCCAACAAACATTGGCGAATAAAGGGGAACAACCGGTACCCACCGCTTGATACCTCTACTACTCAGTTACTTGGCGACTAGGTAACAATCATGTTTACTTGGTCACTCCTTAAAAATTTAGTATGAAACTAAAAAGGTGTTCATACAACACCGGCTCACACTAGATTAAATATGGCGGGGAACAGACGGCCTAAAGTCTCTAGCCTAAAAACATGACAAGTAGGAAACCACTTTCCTACTTGGTTAATTTTATATGACAGAACCGCCTGCCTAAAGGGGATCCAGTCTTTAAAATGGTTCGAATACCGATTGGATAAATGGCCGACTGATCGTCTAGCCTAAAAACAGACGACCAGTCGTCCAGGGGCATAGGCGGCGTGACTAACTATCTGTACCTGTCTGCAACTATCGGCCATGTAAAACAGTCGATATAGTGTACAATTGGATATCAGAATATTCAATACTTGAACAAGTTTGAAGCAAAACAAAAATATTCATTAAAAGGAAGCCGTCATTAAAGACCGACAAAATATTCAGAGCCCCGGCCCCCTGGCCAGGTAAATACAAACAAACGGTACGCAGGCCGTGGAAAGAAGACATAAAGCTTTAGAAGGGGGCAGATCTTCAATATTAGCAGTTGCCGCCTGGTCAGCACTCTTCTTGCTGGACTCGGCTTCAGCTGCATCCTTTTTTGATGCATTACCCCCAAGCGGCACAAGCGCCACTACCGGCTGCTCCTCCTCCTCCAACGCCTCTTCCTCAACAGCCGCCAGGATCTCTTGATTATATCTATCAGAACATTGGCGGTACGTTTTTTCCCATGAAGCAAAGTCGGCATTGGGGAAGAGGCGGCCCCAAGTCATGCGCTGGATTTGAGCAGAGTCTTCCTCATCTCCCGGACCAACTCTTTCTTTTCTTGCTCGGCCTTTTCCGAGAGTTCCTGAGTAAGACTCTTCTCCTGGGTCACCAGGCGTTCCTTTACGCTCGCCAAGGATTTCTCCAAGGTTTCGTATGAGGACATCTTTTGGCGAAGAGGTCTCAGCTCGGCCTTGAGGTTGTTGATGGTCGCCTCCAGCTCGCTATTCCTCTTCTGGGCCGCCTCTAACTGAGCCCGGATAGCGGCGGTAGCCTGCGCCTGATAATAAAGAATATCAATGGTCAGAACTTCATTTTGGGCAATTTGAAACATTGCCTTATCACAGTCAGAGGCGGCCATAGCTTTTGCAGCCTTTACCTCTTTGTTCTTCCGGTCAAGCGGCTTGCGAAGGCCGTTCACTCGGAGCAGGGCCTAAGTAAAAAGGGGAACAGGCGTCAGTTTCCAAACAAAAAAGAAAACAGGCGTCCTGGAATTCAAATACTCAAAAATATGCTAAGTATACCTCAGCAAGGACCCCTGCAATCCCGTCTAGGTCAAGGGTGCCGACACCCCTGTTCGCCTCCCTTTCAGCTGGAGGAACGGCCTTGATCATAGACTTGGCCACCTCGACCAAGTCAGGCTCCTGAGGGCCGGCTGCATCAAACATAAACAAACGGATTAGACCTAGTAAAGAAGGGAGCAAGTCTAAAATTTACAAGGACAATTTCATACTTCTAGGTGGCCCAGCTGGAGTTTTAGAAGTGGTCGGCTGTTTCTCAGCCGCCGCATGTTTCCTGGCAGAACCAGGAGAGCTCGCAACAGTCGTCCTCCGGGCCTTGGGGTCCGGCTGTTGGGAAGAAGAAGCTCTTGGAGCGCCCGTCTAAAAAAGAAGAAAAGAGTCAGTATATGCATAAACACAACACCAAAAAGAGGGTGAAAGGTTCGAAGCCCACCAAGGGTGCCCCCTTGTTGGGGGAGTCGGTTGAAGACTGTTGCATGATGGAGGCCCGCAACATGGCCGCCGCAGTCTTGGAGGCGGTAATTTTGCTCATGGCGTCCGCTGCAAAAACAAATAGCAAAGTTAATAAAAGTCATAACAAGAAATGCACGGAACAGCAGAGCATTCGACAGGCCGGCTACCTCTTGAGCACCGACTGCTGAGGCCACAGGCGGCCAAAAAGTACTCGTCGTAGAGCCATTTGAAGCTCGGGACGCAGTGCAGGGGTACTTGCTCTCGTACCCCTGAAGTAGAGTTCACCTTCGACTCTATTTTGAAGAGTCCTTTATCTAGGATCTCTTTCTTAGCCTTGGGGGGAACAGGCGGCATGCTGCGGCCGCCTGCAAGAAGGGGCGGATTCCTGTTCCACATGTTGAAGCGCTTGTTCAGCTCTGTGTCTGAACTCTCAATGATGAGGAAGGTGCTCCGCCAGTCCTTCCATTTGTTTGCTTTACCTCTCGTCATGAGGTAGCCCCTGTGGCTCGTCAATTGATACCAGCCGGTACCGCCTGCCTTAGGGGTCCGGCTGAGGTTGTTCATGTGGGCGAAAGCCTCAAAGCTCGGCTCCACCCCGTGCAGTTCGCACCCGGCCACATAGCCGAGTACGTTGACCCAGGAGTTCGGGGCTAACTGCCATAACCCCAACTCATACCCATCCAAGATCCGCTGAACAGCTGGATGTAGTGGGAAGCGCAGCCCAGCCTTGATGGCCGCCTCGTAGCAGCCAAAGCAGGCGCCATCATAACTGGTACCAGCCGGCCATACGAATGTGTATTCTGGATCCGGCACGAACACTAAAAAGCCGGGGCCCATTGTGTGGTTTGCGATAAAGCTCTCCACTTTCTCTTGCATGGCCGTGATCCGGCCCCGAGGTACCGTGCAGTAGTAGGGGGTATTTTGCTCTCGGTGAGAGGCGGATGGTTCCGCCCAATCGTCCCCCTTCTCAACTGCGTGAGAAAGCCTCGCCTCTTGTAGGCGACTGTTTTTCTCTTCTGTGTCCAGAGAAGCATGGCCAGAAGAGCTAGACTCGGAATCGTCCTCTGACGAGTCCGAAGAGGACGACTCTTCCCCTCTCCCGGAGGGGCCCGCCTCCTCTCCTTTAAAAGGAGCAGGAGAGAATGAAGAATTGTCAACTGTAAAATGGGAAGGGGTCACTTTGACTCCTCCCTCAGAACTGCCGGCTTTCAAGCCGCTTTGTTTCACTTCCACATCTGGCGCCTGGTCAGATGTTTCACTAATCGGCACCCTGTGGGAGGAGCCGTCTGAGTTTGAGATCCTGGCAGTCTTTTTTGTTCTGGCCATCATGCTCTGCATAGACACAATACAGTCGGACTTTGTATAAAGGGCAAAGATGGGTCCAGAAAAGGGCAGGCGGCACTCCTAGTCCTAGATTCAGCCGTCCCCGGTGACCGGCTGATCACTAACCTAGGTCGTGTCGTGTGCTTCCGTGGTGCCATTTCAAAAAAGAATAAAGTACAGAGAAAATTAAGAGTAAGAGAACCGACGGTTACCTGAACGAGTGACGATTGATGAGGTTCTGAAAATCCTTTGCAGTCGGCTTGTCAGAGCAGGCGGTAGGCAGAAATGGTCCAAAATGTCAGAGCAAGTTCAGGGGTCCGAATGTTCTCTCACAAAGTTTTCAAGTGTGAAAATGACCGAAGTCAACACTCCTTTATATAGGCGAAGTGAGAAGGCGAAGGGTCACTTCCAGAATTCAAAATTTTGGCGGGAGAATCTCTCGGCCTCTCGCCGAGTGACACCTGTAGCAGGCCGTCGCCTGTTACAGGGCGATACCTGTCACAGGTAACACGTGACCAGTCACGTGCCACCTGTGAGGGGCAAATGATTAGGGGATTTTTCCCCACCAATCACCATCTCACAAGTGGACCAATCAGGTTCCGCCATGTGTCCGTCACATGGGCCAATAGGAGCCTGCACGTGTCAAGCAATGATTCGTCCACTATAGACCAATTACGACACGACACGTGTCCTTCCCATGACACCTGGGATAACCGGTCACCTAGGCCCAACTACCGAGGGAAGCCCAATCAGCCCAAGGTTAACCTAAACCTAGATTGACACGTTTCCCGAGGTTATAAATACCTCCCTTAATCCTCATTAAGTGAGATTACGCTAAAAACGCAGATTACACACATTAAACACTCTCACCTAGAGAGACCCAATCACTTTAATTTCCGCATTAATTACTCCTTAATCAAGTACTAACTTGACCGTCGGAGGCGGATCTCCAATCATCCGGAGCATCCGTTTGTTTTGCAGGTACAGGCGTCCGGTTCCAGTCTCGGAATTGTAACTCTCCCGCAGGACATCAGAAAACCCCGAAACAACAGGCTCAATAACTAATCTAGATTCACACAAAAAAAAATTCCCTTTCTTTTTTATTGGTCAAACAATGTCTTATCCAACAAAGAAGGAATAACTTACCATGAGCATACAACCAAGATGTTAGAAATGCACTAAACGTAGTATGTGTGTTAGACCCTTATAATTTAGGATGCCAAAACTCAAGCCATAGACAAGAACAATTTTACATAGTTTTATGGTCAGTTCCTGATTTATACAAATTATACCTTCCCCTGTTATACAAATTATGTAGAATCTAAACAAGCAACCCAATAAGAATTCCCAACTATATAGAAAATAGGAAGCATATTACAAGTGACATTACCTCTAACCAAGACAAAACTTCTACCTCCAGTCCACATACTCCACGACACCTACCAAACAATGCATTTATCTAATCAAAAATTAAATCTTTTCTAACAATTTAAACAATCAACACTATCCAATCTCAAATACCAAACTCTTTCAAAACAAATCAATAATTACAAGGGATACATTGAACAATATATACCTTATTCATCTTCTCAAAGGAAAGTAGGAAACAAACCACCATGAAACCCACCTTTTGATAGCCTCCCCTGCAACTGCAGCAAACCAATTAGGCCACCTAACATCAACCTTCTCTCCTTCTACAGACACCGGTATCAAATCGTCCCACTCGATAATGACGGAATACAAGCAATAAAATAAGGGTACCTCTCAAAAGTAGATGTTCTTAATCCTGGTTCACTATGAAACCTGAGTTTGCACTAGCAAGTAATTAAAATCAAACTTCCATTAAATTGAATATAATGAGTAGTCTATTCATGAATTGAATATAGCCTCGTCTGCCATGATTTATACACACAATATGCGCACAAAACAAGGAAAAAATAGCAGCACAACTTGGAACAAAATCGCACACAAACAGCAATAACTATTAACTCGGACTAAAACTGACACAGTTGCGGAAAACAGTCCAGTTTAATAGCAAAAGAACTCGAAAAATTCTGAAATTTTGCAGGAAGAAAGTAGACAAAATTTCACCCAAATTCAAAAAAAATATCACCTAAAAATACCTCGTAACGAAGGAGAACGAGCTTTCTGAAGTTAACCGAGCAAACTGATCCTCCGAGAACAAGTACGACTGATCAATAACTTTAAGGAGTTATGCACGCAATAAAATATCAAAATCTGGAAGTGTTGGCTATTGTTATTTAAAAGATACTTCTAGGTGCACACTGCATTGTGAGCTATCAAGCATTTTTCCCCTTCTTTTATAGTTCGAAAATTCGGTTCTGATTTTCATTTCTGAATTCAGTTCTGAAATTCGGCTCATGTTAATCTTCATGTCAATCTATCAATATAAAAGTTAAAAACTATAGGAAGATATTGAGATTCTAATGTATTCACCCTAAACAAACTTCATGAATTAAGGTTGAGCATCATTTACTTGCAATTCATAGCCACACCGCCGGTGAGTTGAAAATGCTACAATATGCTATTGGACTAGCAAGAGTTTCACGTGAAAACTTAAAAGAAACTTCAACAACCAAGAAAAGGAGAGGCCACAACATATGTTACCTCAAATTTACTTCGAATCTAAAATAAAACGCTACAACATTAACATCAATATCGGCATCATCATTAACCCAATATACGAAGAGGCTCCTGCCCAATGCAACCTAAGAATGTAAGAGGGACCTAGACAAACTATACACACAGGATTACACTTGTGATCAGGAAGCCATTTCCAAGCAATTCTAGCTTCAGTTGATTAGTCCAATTTACTAGTGATTACTCACATTTACAGAATAGTAGGGACTACAACATTTCATTATATATCTTCCTTTGTTTGATTCTCGTCTTTGATTTCAGATCATCATTTGACAAGTAACTGTCACTATATTACAATTCCACAAGTGTTGGTTCTAATATGTTTTTACAATAAATTAATTATGAATGAGTAGCCCACATTATCATTTAGTAGCCTTTGTATATGAACATACCGTAGCATTATGCAGGAAACATTTTGGTATCAAATTCCAAATCAAAAACAGATCATCAGTAATATGCAGGATTAAATACAACGACAGACACATATAACCATTCCACGATTGCATAATTACACATCCAAGCAGGCATGCACACCAATTCGATCAGGAACATAAAGAAAAATGATCATCTTTAGTAACCCTGTAATCCAGATTATAGCATATTTTGAACTAATAATGCATCAGATACCAGAACAAGCATATAATTATCCCTATCCCTATACATCTCAAGAGTCACATTCAGCCTTATCCATCAAACCATTGATCCAACAGTAAAAAATGAAAATTAAACAAATAAACAAAAAGTACCAAGACAAATTGAAAAGATGTTTTAAATCATCATAAACTTCGACAAATTCTAATGGTGCAATATCAAAGTAAAATTCCAAATTATATAATCAAATTTAACTCCTTCTCCATTTGTTTAATAAATTTGGGCTTTATTGGTTTTAAAGGGCGAAAAGAAGGCATGTCACATTGTCAATTTGATGTGAAATTAATCAGCTAACAAAATTCAATTCGATTTTTAGGGCTATTATTGAATTAAAAAAGGGGTAATTACAAGAACCCTAATTCGAAAATTACATACCTTTAAACCTCAATAGAAGCACTATTGCTGAACCCAAATTCGAAAATCAGCAAAGAAATTGTGAAAGAAAATTGTTGGAGAAGCTGAGGAGGAAGACGTTCGTCGTTATGGACGAGAACCTTGCAAGAACAAAATCGAAATTACTCAGCTAACTGATCAACAACAAAATTTAAAGGGAAAATTACAAGAGCCATAATTCGAAAAACCAAAACAATACTGAATGGATTGAGTTGTTTTTTTTTTTTTTTTTGGTGTTTAGAGAGAGCCACAAGGGCAGGGGTGAGAATCGATCCCAAGATTTCCTGAAATCGGACGGAAGCTCTAACCAAAACAATACTGAATGGATTGAGTTGTAGCAAAGGAGAAATTGTAAGAGGAAGAAGGAGTTTTCACCAATCGGGCGAGAAGTTGGAGCAAAAGGAAAAAAATAAATAAAAAGTTTCAGTCTTATGTTTATTTTCAGCGAGAATTTTTTCCTCTAACTTAAATAAAAAAATTAAATAAAATTAATAGGAATTAGTAATTTAATATTTATAATTGGTGTTTATAACTTAGTTACAAACTTTTGGTCAAAGTTTCTTTGACGGAATATTTGTAACTGGCATTTGTAAGCTAGTTACAAATGTTTTGGTCAATATTTTTTTGACTTAATATTTATAACCGACGTTCGTAAGCTAGTTACAAACTTTTTAGTCAAAACTTCTTTGACTTAATATTTGTAACTGACATTTATTTAGTCAGTTACTAATAAACTTCAAACAATGATAAACCACATATTAGTAACTGACATTTACTACGCCGGTTACTAATGTCATGAAATTTGTAACTGGCATTATCTTAGTCGGTTACTATTGATGCTTTCGTAACTAGCATAACATACGCCAGTTACTAATATGGCGTTACAAATAGCATTTTTTCTACTAGTGAGAATAAAGTAGAGGCCTAATATTAGGGCAGGTTCAATCTCTTTTAGGTTGGATTTGTACCTTCATCCCCGAACCCTTATTTGGTTCAAGACCTTATGGAGTTGACTATCTCTTGGATCGTTAAGGGGTGTAACCTTCACCCTGTGAATGGTTTACAAGTTCCTAAAACTTGTTGGCGACTCTTTTGCTCTATCTTCTTCCCTTTTGGACGCCACCGTACTTTAGTGTATGATCACAGTGGGGTTCAAGCTAGGGGTTAAGGCTTGAAATATTCCCTACAGTTTTTGGCGACTCCGCTGGGGAGGATTTCTATTTTAATTCCTGAATTTGTTTCGGCAATGATTTAAAATGAGTGGATGAGACTCGAAACGTTCTAAGTATTTCATGTGCGTAATTTTGATTAACATTATTGTCATATGCATAAAAAGATCTCATTGGAAAGACCATCCGTAATGAGTTTAAAACATAGGATTTTACACGTAGAAAATTTGAGAAATATCTTTCTTAACTAGGACCGAAATAACACCGCGCGAAACTGGAAAATTTTATCGAGCTCAGAAAGCTGCTGAGGCATGTGGGAAGTAGCGCCAATGACCAGAGCTTGGCGCCAGCATTTTAGCCGTAGCGCCAGACGCCAATATTGGCGCCAGGCGCTACAGTTAAAAGTTGGCGCCAGTTTCTGATTGATGGCGCCAACTTCCCCCAATACCGAGCCAAAAATATGCGCTCTAATTTCGACCGGTTTTTCGTATTGTTTGCTCGATCCTACTTCCTGATTGAATTTTTTCTCACTTTTCTGAAACCCATATGTGTTCTACATATGGACATAACCCTCTGGGAATTCATGCTCCATCTACCCGATTGAACGCTCCGTGCAACAAAGGGTACATCCGAGATTGTTGAATTCACCAAACCATGGAAGCGAGTTTTTTCTAAAACTCGCGGTGTCCCATCCACTCGCGTCAACCCTTCACGATTAGGCTTCCGCTTGGTGCATCCGGACAATTAACCATGGACCCTCTATTGACTAAACCATATCCCGAACTTTAGAGAACTAGAGCCATGGTTAGGTTGCAAATTCATTGCATCATATTGTGCCTACTTGACTAATTGTGCATTATTTGTTGTACATACTCTATGCGATTTTTCCTAACCGTTTGTTTGACTTGTGTTAAGACTAAATAAACTGATTAATGACTAAAGGACTTTGTTTAATTAATTAATTAATTAATTTGAGCTAATAAATAAACATAAAATCGAGTCATAGTTCCTTTAAGTCAACCCGGATTTTTATTCCCGTATACTGCACAAACGTCAACTTGGTTTGGTCATAACCGGAGTTCTAGGAAGAACTACGAGTCGTACAACCTATGGATCTGTAGCCCCGAGTTTTATCTTTAATTTGGCATTGGTTTCATCCAAATCAGAGTCACATATAAAAAGTTATGACTAAAATACCACAGTCTGTCAAGTTTAATGCATATATGTGAAGTCTTAACTTAGTCGTTGCTTGAGTCTAGTCACATAATCTAGCCACATGGTCATGACACGAATCTTAACTTATCATATACACTCACTAGTCTTAGCACACACTTTGAGTATACATCACCGTGACCATGTCTTAGGTTCATTCATGAGTCGATCTTTTCGTCATTTGAGTGGGGGTACATCCTATTCCTAATTCTTCATATCCCTCCATCTACATCTTTTTTCTTCACATTCTATTCAATATTTCTTCACTTCCTCCATCCATTGCATGTTGAATAAAGTTTGAGTCAAATAATTAACAATAAATATCCCCAAATTCCTTTTCCATAGTACTTGGTCGAGGAGAGAAGGGCGATTAATCAAGGACAACCTCTTTATTCAAGTCTCACTTTTTGATAAACCGATTCGTCAAAAGAGGAAGACTAAAAAGATAATGGCAACTCAAGAAGAAGTCAATGAGCTTAGGAACCAATTGGTTACCGTGACTGAGACACTGAAGCTACTCACACTCAAGATTGATGATCCCGTGAAGCAACAACAAATGACCCTCATGCAAGAGAGTCTAAGCAAGCTATCTAGTGACTATAAATTTCAGGGCATGAGTTCACAAGGGGTCTCGCTGGACAAGGAACTTCTTCCACATAAGTTCAACGCCACTGACATCCCTAAGTTCAAGGCAACAGATAACCCTTATTTCCATCTAAGAGCCTTCGAAACTATAATGAGTATTAAGAGTATCGATAAGAAGGTTTTCCCCTCTCTGTTCTCTCTATCTCTTGAAACCGTTTGCCAACAATGGTACTTCTCCCTTGACAAAGAGAAAACCTCTACCTGGGAATCGATAGTAAACGCTTTCTTTGATAGGTACAAGTGCAATATTCAAGTTGAAACCGATCATAGACAACTTGAGATGCTAAGACAAAAAGAGAATGAAGGCTTTACTTCTTTCTTTAATAAATGGAGGGAAACTTCCACCAAGATGATTGAGGTCCCCACCGAAAAGGAGTCTGTGAGGATGTTTATCAAGAATCTTCAAGAGAAGTATTCGAAGCATTTAAAATACCAACACAACTTGAATACTTTCAAGGCCGTTTATGACATCGGAATTGAAATCGAAGACGACCTCGCAAAGCAAAAAGCTACTAACAATAGTAACCACGGTGGCTGGAAAGGAAAGAAGAACGACAATCCTTCTTCTTCCGAAAACGCCCACTCTAGTAATAATGTTAGTACCTTTGACCATAATAGTGTCTTAGCCATTGACAATCAAGGATCTAAAAGGAAACCCAGGCGAGAGTTCACACCCATCGGAATGACCTATGATGCTGCTTTCGATCGTCTCTACGATCGAGGATTAATCAAACCTATTGGCCCTACCGAGGATCCAACACCAGAAAATCGATCTTCGAGATGGAATCCAAACTCCTATTGCAAGTACCATCGAGGAAACGGTCATACTATTGATGAATGCTACAAGTTTCAAAACCTCATTCAAGATCTCATAGAGGCAAATAAGATCCCATTGCCTCTAGCTAGCGAGAAGACTGGATGATGACGGAGCAAACAACACAAGATAGAGGCGAGCTTCAACGACAAGATTTCATGACCTCTTTTTCTATTTTATTTTTCATTTTTTCCTTTCCCCAATAAGTCTAGCATTGGCACCTTTTCTTTTCCCTTAGATTAATTTTGTAGGTTCTTTCTTTTTCTGTAATAAAATGAGCATTTATTTCCTTGCATATGATCATTTCGTTTCATTATATTGCATTAAAAAAAATAAATAAATAAATAAAAAACCATGTCGGACTAAGCACAAGGTATACCAATAATTTAAGGCACCCCTTGTAGCCACATTCTATTACCTTTCACCCTTCAATTATACATCCTTTCTTCATAAACCACTTTGAGCCTCGTCTAACGATAGACCTTTCTTTTTTCAACCTACATCTACCTAACCTTGGGATGGGATGGTGTGTAACTTATGCAATTCATAAAAAGCTTGAGTGACTTCAAAAGATTAAAATAGCAAAAAAAATAAGCAAAAAAAATAAAATAAAAGTGTACAAAAGGGTAAGTGTTCCAATGTCTTTGACATGAACATGTATTTGATATGAATACGTCTCAGATTGCGTCTCTTATCGAGTGCTCGGTACCGTGCCTTTGAAACATGAATGCCAAGTGAGTGATAGACCGCATGATCGGGATTGCCCACACTTATAAAAATATAAAGTGCAAAAGCAAAAAAAAGAGAGCAGAAATAAATAAAGCAAAAAAAAGAGAGCTAAAAAAGAATAGAAACTCAAGCATAAAAATATAAAGATCCAAAAGCAAAGTTGCACACCTTGGGGGCTTATCTAGGGTCTTGAGCCTTTATCCCCTTCTTCTTCAACCTTTAGCCTAACCACGTTACAACCCTTAAAAAGACCTTTTTGAGGTATACACATACTTGTGCGAGGTTCGGCTAGAGCTACGTTCGGCCTGATTCCTAACGTATACGTAGGCAACCTCACATCGAGGTGCGACCGTAATAAACATGCATTCATATTCACATTCACACACTTACACCATGATCATATCAAGGGATTTCCTATGCTCATCCCTATTCATGTAGAGCTAGACTTGGGGGCTTGATCCCTACATCATTAGCTTACTAGCCTAAGAGTCACCACCATTTAACTATTTTAACAAATAATATTTTTCTACACACTTAGCCTTTGCGGCCTAACTTTAGTGTCACTATCACACACATCACAGATACATGACCAAATATACTTCCCTTAGGAACCCTTTGTCATGGAATCTTAACACAACGCTGAAGCGTGCCTTGTCATATCAAAGTCGCTCATCAATTATAATTGTCATTGCATCACGAAGTATGAAGTGCTTAGCCTCCGTGCCTAAGTTACCCTAATGCTTTCATCATTGAGTCAACCACTGAGATATCCTAGGATGGATTAATCCTTGCATCTTGAGAGATAGTATCAAACAACATTTGACTAAGCTCGTTCAACATGCATTTTCAAACTTCGATTCTTTTTCGCCTCTTTCTTTTTCGGGAAAAAGTCGGTACCCTCCACAAAAATGACGGAATTTTTTTTGCATTTTTGCTTTTTTGCATTTTCGAGTCGCACGATCACATTACTATGCACACACGGGCCATGAGCCACACGTGTCATTTCACTTTGATACGAGTCAACCTCGAGT